TAGTCATATTTTGGATTTCACAAATGTTTTTACTTCTTTTATTTAGGCCAATTTCCTTAAACATAGGTGAAAATTATTTTTTTTGTGAACTTCAACTTATAGTCCTAGTGGAGATCCGCCCTATTTGCATGTCTACGTAACTAATAACATGCCTGATAGAGTATATATATGGGCCCAGGTCCCATGGATCACACACTCACAGAAGATAAGCTAGCACCACAAGATGGTAGGAGACTCGCAGGGCCGGCCCTGAAGGTGTGTAGGGTTGTCCAACCGCACAGGGCCCAAAAAGTTGGAAGGGCCCAATTTTTTTGTAGTAATATACTAGTATTACTTAGAGGTGGAGCGTATATACAGGAATGAAGGAGTATTAAACCCAGGTGAAAATAAAATCATGCACGATGATCTCTAAACATCAACCCACTCGACCGAATCAACTAATTGTTGAAATAAGGACGTACAAGCTTTATATTACCTATTTGTTCTACAAAATAAATAATTAAAAATACCTCTTAATAAAAATCGGTTCGGTTCGGTTTGAACCGATTTTATAACTCAAAAAAACCTTCATTAAACCGATGTATGTTCGAGTCCCGACTTTCGGGTCCCGTTTGAGTCGGTGCGGTTTCAGTTCGGTTTTTTTAACTTGTGTTGAAACTTTGAAAAGAAGGTCCAAATATTTTTGTTGCATAGGCCCTTCATTTCCTCGGGACCGGCCTTGGAGACTCGGATGGCCCTCTCGGCCAGACAAGGCGACTTAATTACACAAAAAACACGGAAGCTCGAGATCAGAGAACTAGAACAGGATGACATCCTCGTCATGGGCCCCCTCAGCCAGTGCCTCCCTCGACTAGGACCTCATCAATAGTCTATACTTTACACTTAGCTCTATGAAATCGCGTAATCAGCTTATTAACGGCCGACCTATTATTGTATCGGACCTCCCAGGCTCAAGGCCTATGAGTCCAACTCACAATTCCTCTATAAATACTTCCTTTGAGGGTAATTGCGGGTGATTGAGAAATATTAATTGTAAGGAACTTTCACGTCTATCCTTCAATTCTCTCTAGACCTATAGTCTATTATGCTAATTCAAAGAAGAAAACCACATCATATGGTTAAGTAATGATGATGTTGTTAAAATAATGCTAGCTCCGTAATAAGAATATTAATAGCTAAATTAGCAGAAGCCATAATCAGTTTGTTTTGAAAGCCAAACCATAAACGACTTAGAAAATAGAAAAAATTACATGTAGGTATATTACTAATAGAGTTTCTCTAGACAAAAAAATTGACTAGTTATGTTTTATGACAAAAATATGAGTAATCGCTATGTACGAGTAACTGAACAAGAGTCACTATAGTGTATTTCAGAGTGAGGAGTCACTAATAGATAATGTGTCACATTTTTTAAAATTTTCAAATTAAGTCATACTAGTATTTTTGTTTTTAATTTTAATAATATTCTTGGAAAAAGGCATACAAAGTACTCCATATAATCACACATTTGGAACAAGTATATATGCTTTATAAATCACTTTGAGGGTAGCTAAGACCGCAAATTATATCGTATGACCGGCATACGGTGAGCACCATATACTGGTATACGAACTTCTTTGTTTTTTTTTGTTTTTGTTTTTAAAAAATGGTAATAATTTTTTTTTTTGATTCGATTTTTATAAAATTTATATCAACATTTTTTATTTTTCATGATCTTTCAAATGAGACCAATATTGCTTATGTAATTTTAAGAAATTATCGAACTATTATATTAATGAGTATTGGATTATAAGGAAAATCGAACTAAATTTAATACACAAAAATAATTGTGTAAATCACAATTTATCTTTAAATTGTGTATATAAAAAATTTATTGTAATATGTATTTATACATGTGAGGTACATATTTTTATGCGTAAAGTTACATATTTTTACACGTAAAATTACATATATATACACACGAGTTGCAGTTGGCCTGACTGAACGCGAGTTACATATTTTTACACGTAAAGTTACATATTTTTACATGTAAAGTTACATATTTATACACGCGAGTTACATATTTATACACACTAGTTGTATTTGACCTGTCTGAACGCTTGTTACATATTTTTACACGTAAAGTTACATATTTTTATACGTAGAGTTACATATTTGTACACACGAATTACATTTGGCCTGACTAAACGTGAATGTTAAAATTACATAGGCAATATTGATCTCATTTGAAAGATCAAGACGGTCATACCGTATAACAAGTGAGCTAAGATTATATAGTTGGCCCGCTGTTCTCCAACGATATCTGCGGGCCGGCATTTATTGTTTGTTGAATTAATGCTCCGTCAGATCGCCAACCTCAACAAATTAACCGACTAATCACTTGTAGTTTATGAAAAAAATGGTACCATTAATGATTCTCCACCTTTTCACACACATCGTTTTCTTTACTTTAAGAGGACCAGTTGGTAATAACGTCATAACCACAAATTTATTTCGTATCTACTTTAATTTCTAAATATTACTACTTCTGTCTCATAAAATAAGTCTCCATTCAATTTGGATCGGAGTTTAAGAAACTGGGAATAAAGTGGAAATGTATGGTTGTGGTTCACTAAAAAAAGGTAAATGAATATTAGTCACACAAAACTTTCCAAAAAAGGAAATGAAAACAATTTTTTAGGAGAGCTCAAAAGGGAAAGTGAGAATTATTTTATGGGACGGATCAGAGGATTACGTACGTAATCCCAAGAAGTAATTTATTTATGTGAACCTGCGGGCATCATATCACTGCATGCATCATAACAATCTAAACAATTTTCCCATTTTGTTGTGTTTGGTTTTGATATTCTAATAAAATTAGACTACGTAGACACATCATACATTACATTTGTAGTGTATAAATATATAATCATTCATACGAAATACTTCGTACTACGTAGGCATCATATCACTGCCGATCGCTTAATTCAACTCAATATTTCAAGAATTTCAGCAAATTAAGCTATTTTCGGTGTTATCAAACATTCAAACGCACTCTTAGAGGAGTTAGAGCTCATTCGTCAACATTATTTTTCAGCTTGTCAAGCTTAATTATCAGCTAACTTTTTCACGTAACTTTTTTATTTCACACGCCGAAATGTGTAATAATAAGAAAAAGTAAGGTTGAAGTTACTTTTATGGTTGTATCGACTGAAGTTACTGGTACAAGACCATTTTAGCTATTTTTACCTACTCTGTATAATTTTTTTCTTTAATTTATTAATAAAATATATTTTAAATTTAATTTTTTAATAAATCAGCAGAATCAGCCAATACAACCACTTCAGCCAGGACTTCATAAATTTCAGCAGAATCAGTCGATCCAGACGATTTCAGTGTAACCAAACGGGCTCTTGGCCAGACCGCTTTTTGTTTATATTTGTCATCAGTTATAGGTGTCGTTACTTTACGTACCTGCAATTCAGATCATGTGACTAATAAATTTTCCACGTCAAGCAATGCTCTCGCAAAAAACAGCCTGAACTGCATCCTCCACATCCAAATTTTGAACATTTTGATGTATAAGTCTTTAATGTGGACACGTTTATGATACTAAATTGCCACTTCTGTCTTTAGCTAATGTGTAATACTCGAGAATTGGCTCCTAATTAATCGTACTCAATATAACATATGCGTAGTATATTTTTGTTTCTTCTTATAAATATAAACTCTTTATTCAATACTACCACGTCCCAATTTGATAGTCATAGTTCATATTCACTTGTCAACCGAAACCACTATTAATCACTTACTTCTTATATCAACTTTTTTATTAAATTTGATTCAGGGTTTTGCGACTTTGTAAAACTATTAATATAATTTTTAAATATATAAATTTTGTTTGCTACAAATAATTTGAGTGCAGACAAGTATTCATTTGCTTTATCGTCGGTCAAGCCTTTTAAACCGTAACAGGACCATCAAATTGGGACGAAGGGAGTATTTTATATGAATTACTAGTAATTCTTTTGCCAAAATAAAATTAGGGTTCGTCTATCGTACATACACAAAAATAGAGTGTTTTGATACCTTCACTTTTTCAGCCAATCAGATGCCAGATAATAGCCAAGTCATTTCCGCACCTTAGTTTTAATTTTCTCACATCAAAGCCACACCCACTTTCAATATTTGCAATCCAATCCCTCAATTGTTTTAAAAATAGAGGAATCACGCAAGTAGGCAACCATTGCTGCAGTGGAAACCGCAGAAAAGGAAAAAAGAAGATGCGACGAACCCACAGGCGCCCAAAGAAGAACCTGCCGGCACCAAGGAAGAATCTGCCCGACCTAGGTAGAATCTTCCGGTCGATGAAGAATCCGTCAAAAGAAATGTAACTGTCCGACCAAAAAAGAATTTTCCGGTCAAGGAAGTCCCGCCGGTGCCAAAAGAATAGCCCGCACGGGCCAAAACTATTAATATTGAACCCATGTTGTTGTTTTGACGTGATAATATTAAAACTAGGGATAGAATTTAGAATATGACGTGGAATCATCTTTTATGTTATTGGTTCAAAAAGTTAAGGTACCAAAACACTCCCTTTTTGTGTGTGTACCGTAGAATTTTCCATAAAATTATTGCTTGGAGCATATTTGGCAACGATAACCGGAACCGCAATGACCAACTCCTCAAGTTAGACCTTCAATTCCTCATATAGTACCCATGCATGCATGATCCATGCATATATGAACGTAACCATATATATGTACAGTATTTGGTAATTCAATTTTCACATGCATGCTCTTTAATAAATATGTTGAGTTTTTTCATAAAAAAATGTATGTTGAATTTTAATTTATACTTCCGGATCAAAGAATATTAAACCAAATGATTTCATTTTATTATTTTATACGTTCGTAGTACTACGTAGTTATTTCTTTTCATTTATTGCCGGCCTCCATTTCCCATCCCTTCCTTCAACTATATGCGTAGATAAATGTAGTGTGTACGTATATAATATGCCATTTCTCTAACTAAGCTTATTCTTCACCAACATAACTCACATGCATATATATCTCTCTTGTTCTTCTTCTTCTTTCTACCTCACTTCAACAAATCAAAACTTAATTATATAGTGTACCTTATCTGCCACCGCCGGCCAAGGAAAGATGGACTTATCAACGGCGGCGATGATCCTCTCCTTCGTAGCGGCCTACTTCCTTTGGTTCCGATCCGTCGTCACCGTCTCCTTAAAGGGCCCGAGAGTGTGGCCGGTCATCGGCAGCTTGCCGGGCCTCATCGCAAACAGCCACCGTATGCACGACTGGATCGCCGAAAACCTCCGCGCCTGCGGCGGTACGTACCAGACCTGCATTTGCGCCGTCCCCTTTCTTGCCCGGAAGCAAGGGCTCGTCACCGTCACGTGCCACCCCAAGAATTTGGAGCACATTTTGAAGGTCAGGTTTGACAACTACCCGAAGGGTCCGACGTGGCAAGCGGTCTTCCACGATCTGTTGGGAGAAGGCATTTTTAACTCCGATGGTGACACGTGGCTGTTCCAGCGTAGAACCGCCGCGCTGGAATTCACGACGCGGACGCTCCGGCAAGCCATGTCACGGTGGGTCAGCCGGGCGATAAAAACGAGGTTCTGTCCGATCCTAAAGGCGGCTGAGCTGGAGGGGAAAGCGGTGGATCTTCAAGACCTACTTCTGCGGATCACTTTCGATAACATTTGCGGCTTGGCTTTTGGTAAGGACCCGCAGACCCTGTCTCCGGGCCTGCCGGAAAACGGCTTCGCCTCGGCTTTCGACCGAGCCACCGAAGCCACGCTGCAGCGGTTCATTCTGCCGGAGTTCGTCTGGAAGCTCAGAAAGTGGCTTGGGATGGGAATGGAAGTTGACTTGAAAAGCAGCTTGAAACACGTTGACCAATATTTGACTGACGTCATCAGTACACGTAAGCTCGAGCTGGTGAGTCAGCAGCAGGAAAGCAGGGCAGAACACGACGACCTCCTGTCCAGGTTCATGAAGAAAAAGGAGTCCTACAGCGACAAGTTCCTACAACACGTGGCACTCAATTTTATCCTAGCTGGACGTGACACGTCATCAGTCGCAATGAGTTGGTTCTTCTGGCTGGTCAGCATGAACCCGCGCGTGGAGGAGAAAATTCTTAGCGAACTCTGCAACGTCCTGACTGAGACACGTGGAACTGACACATCCACATGGCTCGAAGACCCTCTGGTCTTTGACGAGGTTGACCGTCTGATATACCTGAAGGCGGCTTTGTCAGAGACCCTCCGTCTCTACCCGTCGGTGCCGGAGGACTCAAAACACGTGATCAACGACGACGTTTTACCCGACGGAACGTTCGTTCCGGCGGGCTCGAACATCACGTATTCGATATACTCGAGCGGGAGGATGAAGTTCATATGGGGAGAAGACTGCCTCGAGTTTAAGCCGGAGAGGTGGCTGTCGAAAGATGAGAAAAAGTTCGAACTCGACGACCAATATAGGTTCGTGGCATTCAACGCCGGTCCGAGGATATGTTTGGGCAAGAACTTGGCTTATTTGCAAATGAAGTCCATCACGGCGGCGGTGCTGCTCCGCCACCAGATCAAGGTGGCTCCGAAACACAGGGTGGAGCAGAAGATGTCACTTACTCTGTTCATGAAGTATGGTCTTCTGGTCAACGTCTTCCCCAGAGACTTGGCGCCGATCATTGCCAAAATTGGGAATGGTTGTGATGGTCAAACCGTGACAGTAAGCGGAGCAGCTTAATTTATTTTGAAACAATTAAACTAATTTACTAAGATTTGTAATTTGTGAATTTTAGTGACAGTCATATTGTTTGGACGGTCCAATATATCGGATACTGTCAAATTTATATTTATACACATAAAACAGAATAATCTATACGAATTGAAGTATAATGTATTAACTGATACTTAGTACTCGTATTTATATTCTTTAAAAGAAATATAGGAATGAATGTATGCTCCTTTTCATTTTCCAATATAAAGCGAATGAAAATGGATATTTTAAAATGATTTGAGAAGTTATTGATTACAATTATTATGAGCAAATGAGAAGTGATATGGGTATAGGACGTTTGAGGAGGCACAAATTAAGACCCCTAAATGTAGTTAAGCACATCAAAATCGAAACACTCAACACTCAAGGGATGCGTTATGTGAATTTTTAAATAATGGTTGATTGGTGTCTTAAAATTAAATGGACAACAAACAATTGTGGGCCATTTAGTTTGAAAGGTTTTGATGATTATTATTGAAACATTATTGGTCTCACACTTATAAAAGTCATGAAGACTGTTTTAGTAATGAATTTCCAAAAATATAATTATGTAAATTTAATTTGAGTCTTAATAAGTATACTTTGAACAATCAAAGGTCGGATTTTAAAAGTGTTTGAACTAATTTTTTTAGAATGGAAGGGACGATGAGTCTGATGTTTCTTCGATGAACGTGAGATATTATGAGTAGTAAGTTTGTTGGTCGAAAATAAGACGTTCATAGTCTGTGATGGAGGCCAACAGGAACGAGACGGGGGCTCGGCTATTCAAGAAAAATATCTAATCAATATATATATATATATATATAAGAGAAACTTTTTAAGAGCATACAAAGCGCCACATAATCCTGCCATGTCATTATATATAACAATTATTTACTTATTTTTATAGCTTTTGTTTTTATTAGATTCTATTTTTGATTGCATATTGATATGGAAACAAAAATCCTTATAAATCCACCTTAATTAATTTGGTAAGCTTCAAATAAGTAAAATATTTTTTTGTTATCAAAGTGAAATTCTAAAAACGTTTATTGATATGGAAACTAATTTATATTAGTTTACTACATCGAATTAAATAGAAACAAATATGCAAATTAGTGTACTTATTAATTTGACACCTATTAATAAATTAGTAAGCTTCAAATAAGTAAATAATTAAAAATGAAATTAAAAATTATAACCAACATAAAGCATATATATTTTCACAAGTAAATATGTTTAGCTTAACAAAATAAGTAAATATTTTTTGTTGTTTCTTTATTTTACACCTAAAATTCAAATATGTCTTCACTTTTGAAATAGATTCCTAATCCAAATTAGAAAATCTTTATAGGTTTACAAATTCTTGCTTTTATTTTAATAGAATGTTTTTAATTGGATTGATTTGAGTTCCAGATTAAATCAAATCAGATCAAACTTTAATAATTATAACAATAAGTCACATAAAAAACAGACATCTAATAGACCATATTAATTCATACCAAATCAAACCCGAAATTTTAATTCAATTAAAAACGTTCTTATTAATGAGTAAATCATAAGATCTAACAATTAAGAAATATAAATTTTATTATTATTGAGCTCATAACAATTATGTTTACTTGAGATGCTTATGTAGAAGATCAATTTAACTTTTTTTTTTTCATTTATTTTTCTTTGTTTCACAAATGGAACATATTTCACATATATTTTTCATGATTCAGAAGATTCCACCTATTTAACCAGAATTCAATCAATTTCAACAAAATAAGTTGATTCTATTTACTTTAGTATTATCAAACAGACTCTATATTAGACTAAGTTTATTTTTATTTTAAATCACATTATATGTGATCCGTTAGAAATTAAATTTCTAATTAGCTAAATTACATACTGCCCGTGCATCGCACGGGCTTGAAAGCTAGTATACAAATATATGGATAAATATTTTCGAATTGTTAAAAATTAAATATGTTGATTTTAATCTTTGACCTCCGCAATAAGTAATAGATAGTATGATATTTCCAAGTCTTGCTCGCCCCATAACACTTCATTTCTGGCTCTAAGCCTGTGAGTCATAGGCTGTTTGAGGGTTATGCCATATTACTCATGTAGAAACTGTGGTTCAAGAATTAACAAGTGTGATTAGAGTAGAGAAATTGGCAATGTTTCATTATATGTAGAAAATGTGCTAGCACAAGAGATTTTGGAGGTCTTTTATAGGCATTTACCGTTGCAGTTGTCCGATACGATGCCTTTATAAACCTGTTCATGATCCATTTTATCCATACTTTTAAGCGGGAAATGACCCAAAAAATCCTCATTTTGTAAATATGGCAAAACGTTTAATAATATAGGTATAATTTCTACCTATTCAATAAACAAAATATAGTGTTGAGGGTAAGTCCCGTAGATCCGAAAGCCCAACACGAACTTTGGATATATCAGGAATGACCCAGAATCAAAGCGTGTAAAAAATATAAGATCTGAACTAACTAAAACTCGAAAGCTCACTTGTATTAATTAACCAATCTGATTACAAGGAATTTCCCGATCGGTATGTCGGAAACTATGCTTTAATACAAGAAATAAGAGCAAATGATGCTATTCTAGAGCTTGAGTATTGAAATGCTAACCCTTACAATGACTTGAAACCTTCTATTTATACTAATGGAGAGCATGGGCTGCCTCTTGCTGATTGGCCGTTGTTCCACCGACTTGGTCATCCATGCTTCCACTTGCTGATGTCATAGTCTGACATTAATTGCACCTGGCCACTTGCTGGTTGGCCGTTGCTCGAACGGGATGTTGGGCTGTACTGAAGATGCTGTCAAATTGGCCCAAGTATGATATATAGCCCGAACCTCGTTCGGTATGTCTTCTTACTGGGCCAATCTTTATTTAGGCCGAACTCCGTTCGGTATGTCTTCTTACTGGATCTAATCATCATAGAGTGATGGGCCCGTTGCTTGGGCCGGATATCTTGGGCCTTCTCGATCTGGGTATTGGGCCTCTAGGTCAATATCCCAACACAAGTCCCCCACTTCCGATGTCTCGAACGAAGTGAGTGCATTAGGAAGTATATCAATGTTATAATACCCCGAATGGCGATCGTGGTACAAAAGTAATCAGTTCCCCATTCCGCGATTCGACGGCTGCCGCTTCATTTCCCCATATTCATCATGATAATCGTCGTTTAGTCTTTTCATTAGACACGTGTTTAGCTTAAATGCTCCTAGTGACGTGTCGCTCTCTGATTGGTTCTCGACACGGCGGTTTCAAGGCTATAAATTAGCCTTTAACTTCTCAATTCCGGGTTTCGATTCTGCAATTCCTTGGCCTTCGTTGTTTCCTCTGCAATTTTCTCCCTCCTTCCTTTGCTCAGGTAATTTCCCAACTCCGGATTCCCTATCTTCATTTCTGGCTTCGACCGAGATGAGCCCCAAAGAGCATTCCTCTGATTCGGAGATGGCCTCTCATGGAGATGACCGCGACGCCGCCATTGTGGATGTCATCACAGTTCCGTTTGCCGGTGTTTCTACTGAAACGGCGACGAATACCAGGGCTGAGGCGAAGGACCTCCCTAGCACCTCTTCTTCCTCCAGTGAGGATTCCGACGACACCAAATCCGAGGACGAAATAGCCCCCATGGCGGCCGGTCGTCCCAACGATGTTCCTCGCCATACCCTTGACCTAAAATTGATTAGGGAGAGGCGGCAAAAATTGACCTCTCATAATAGGGCCGAAATTCCGGCCCTTATCCCTGACCCGGTGGATTTCCGTTTGCAAGCTGGGCTTCACCCAATGCGTCATAGGCCCGGAATGACCATAGTCCATTTTGACTCAATTAGGGCCGGCCTTAGGTTTCCACTACACCCCTTTTTCATTTCTTTCTTCAATTTCTACGAAGTTGTACCGGCCCATATTATGCCGAACTCCTATCGGGCAATGGCGGGTTTTATTTGTCGTTGCAAAGATGCCGGCGCCCGACCAACCCTAGAACTCTTCCATTAATTCTTCAAAGTAGCCCCCCAACAAACCCACGGCTATCTGGCCACTAGTGCCCGAACGGGACACATCCTGTTCAAGGGAAACCCAACTTCAATCAAAGGGTGGAAAGACCGGTTTTTCTTCGTGTCTGTCCCGGACGGTCTAATTCCCCGCAAATGGAATGCCTTCCCCCGCAAGACTCCTGATCCTGTCCTCACTGAAGAAATTTACAAGGGCGTGCTTGCTGTGGAGAAGGATAAATGCATGGACATCATGAGTTATCTGACTCCCGAACGACTTATTACCGGGATAGGTACTGCCCGTTCTCTTGGGTTTACTTGTTTTGAGAAACCAAGTGCCATGGTCCGGGCGGTCCTTCCCGTGCGAGAAACGTTCTTTTATTCCTTTTTCTAGTTTCTCACACGCTAAGGCCGCTCGATACTAACATTCTCCTTTGTCTTTTTTCAGCACCAAACCCAGATCTACCTATGGATGACAGCAGAGTTATCGCAGCCGGTGGGGCCGGTAAGCGGAAAAAATCCAGGAAGAACCCCCAACCTACTCCCACCATTATTCATGCTCAGGATGCTGCCCCTTCTCAACCGCTTCCAGAGCCTCAGCCAATACAGCAGGTCCATCAGGACCAATTTGAGGCCATGCTGGTCGACGACCGGTTCGGCTCTGACCAACTGCACCAATTTTCTCAGCATTTCGACTCCGTTCGGGGGGAACCCTCGAATGCTGGTGAGACCCATACCGACCATATTACGGGTCAGGTCGAGCGGATCTCCCTATCCGACCCTGTCCATGAGGTATTAGAGAGGGCCGGCTCTACCGCGAGCCAGATCTGGTCGACCTCCTCTTGGTTCAACAACTTTTCCCTTCCTCAGTTGCCGGTCGAGCAATCTGAGGAATGTCTGGCCTTGACCGCTCTGAAGGTACATCATCTTTTGCGCTTTGTTTTTTTTATTCTCTGTAATCAGTATTAACTCTCGAACGGTAATCTGTAGATGGGTTTGTACACCCTTCAGATGCGGGAAGCCCGTCTGGCCAAGGAGCGGGAACTGATTGTCGCCCAATCTTCTGCTGAGCAAAATGCTGCTGCAGCCATCTCTTCTCTGGAGGCCGAACGGAGGGCCTTTGCGGAGGAGAAGCAGAGGCTGGATGCTGAGCTTGGTACCCTTCGGGTCCAACTTGCAGCTTCCCAGGCCAAGGTCCTTGCCGCTGAGGCCGCACAGGTTAAATTTGAAGAAATGCCATCCAGCATCCCGGACGGTCCTTATGAAGTGAACGTGGATCTGTCCGCCGTCCGGGAAACATTGAAATCCTCTGATGAATTCTCCATGATCAAGGATGATCATGCAAGGGCCCAAATCCCGTTCGCCTTTGGGGCGTACTTGAAGGGTTTCCCCAAGGGTGCTGATCGGCTATCGGCAGGGGTGGCCCTCTTGGACAAGGACCTTGAGGCCAAAAAATGGAACGACTCAATTGTTTCAGACCTCTATGGCAAAATTGGCCAGGTCTTGTTGCGTCCCTTCGTTGCTCAGCTTCAAAATCATCTGGGGAGGCCGGTTCAGGCTTCTGATCTCCCCACGGATGACATTATCCAGACTCAGTTCGAGAAATTCCTGCGAGCTCAGCAAAGGGAAACCGATCGGGCTGCTGGGAGAGAGCTTGAGCCCCTGTCTGATGATGATGAAGACGAGGACGAAGAGGGGGATGAAATGGCCCCTAGCCAATAATTTATATGTACTTTTTCATTACTTGTTGTAATTCTCTTTTCTCTAAGTAGCTTGTACTTCCCGGTCAGTAGAACCGATGAATATATATCCCTTTTTTGCCTGAAGCTTTGTGTACTGTTTTTTCTGTCTTTAATGCATGATTTACTCGTCATTCGGGATTCGGCCCGTTTTGTAGGACTTTATTTCTTGCTCAAATACTCGTAATGCCGTTGATCGCCGTTCGGGTATTAGAAAGGTTCTGATAATTTATTAAGGGAAAAACCCCTTCCCTCTGGGCATTAACCAATTGATCGTCGTTCGGGCCTCAGACCATTTTTAGGTCAGTACATCCTGGCTTTAGATAATCTTTTACAACTTGATAGCCGGTCGAGCTTCAGATCAATCCTTAGCTTCTTATGACGTTGATAGCCGATCGGGCTTCAGGTTAATTTTTAGGACTTAGCAGTTTTCTTGGTTTTCTTTGCACCTAGGCTTCTTCATAAGTTGGTAGCCGTTCGGGCTTCAGTTCAATTTTTAGGACAGCCGTTTGATTTCATATAACCTTTTACAACATTGATAGCCGGCCGGGCTTCAGGTTAATATTTAGGACTTAGCATTTTTTATAAACAGCAAGTCCCTGTGATCTTTGTTAATCCTCTGTAAGCCCGTCCGGGGTACGTGCACAAAAAAAATGAATCATCAATGCCCCAGATTAATCGTAACCACCCAATGCCACGTGTTGCTCGTGGATTAGGGATTTGTGCGGCACTTTCCTTATTTATAGAGAGGTGCTTCCCCTAATTTCTCCTGCTGTTTTCTCATTTTTCTTTCGAGCTTTCTCTCTCTAAAATTCCCAGAATTCCCTTGCATACTCTCAAGCCTTCTCTCTCTAGAATTCCCAGAGTTCCTCCAGCATTTTTATGTACTACTCCTCTAGCTCAGAATCTGAAGAGATGCCTTTGATTCGCAAAAGCAAAACATCCGCTGGTAACCAGGCCGAAGGCTCTTCGTCCCAAACACCTAAAAACGCCAATCCTCAGGCCAGCAAACATATCGAACAGCCACAGAAGGACGGATGTCTGTCCGGAAATGACCTCCAAGTTTATAACAAGGGGATGCCCGAGCGGCCACCCCGCATTGCCCTACACTTCAATCGCATACGCAAACACAAACAACGTCTCCCAGAAGATGTCGAACGGCAACTTAGCCAGTTATTGCCCCCACCAAGGGAATACTACGCCGGATTCATTCGGCACCCTATGAGGCACCGACCGGGGCACGTGCTAGTGCACCTTGACGCTCTGACTGCTGGACTTCGGTTCCCTCTCCATTCATTTATAGTGGAGTTCTTACGCCGGGTTGCTGTACTGCCCGCTCAGTTCGTGCCCAACACCTACCGCATTCTGACAGGCTTCATTATTCGGTGCCACGAGTTGAGGATCACCCCCAGCGTCGATCTGTTCCTTTATCATTACTGCTATCAGCCCTACTGGACGACCGGGTACCTGAAACTGGTAGCTCGTTCTGATCGTCAGCTGTTCACAGAGAACGTTACCCCGCAGGCTGACTGGGAGGAGCAGTTTTTGTTCGTTCGGGTAAATGATTCTCTGCCATTCCCGGATAGGTGGAACGCATACCCCGTTCGGGATTCTCTGCCTAGGGTGGACGCCGTTCTACGCTCCCAAGCTGAGTCTTTGCGGATGGGAGGGACCAGAAGTCTTCGCAGCTTTGTCACTACCTCGAGCATGTTATCTGCTGGAATCGGTAAGCATAGTAGGGTTTTAACCCGATCATCCTTCGCTCTCACAATTCAACTTCTTATCTTTTATTTCTCTTTCTTGTAGGTGTGATATCTCCCATACCCGTCCGGCGCTCTATCTCTTCTGCTAAAGGAAAGGAAAAGATGATAGCCGATCGTGACTCGGTGGAGCAAACCCGCAAAAAGCGCAAAGGAAATGATGGCGATCACCTGATCCCGATCGATCATGTGGTTGATTTGACCGGTCCGGATGTTGAACCCAAAAGATCGGTGCCTGCTAAAACCTCCACCTCGGTTCTTACTAACACACCGATCGATGATCGGATGTTTGTTGAGTTTTCAAATATGGGGCCCAGATCAGAGGGGAGGTATCTGTTCGGGCTGATGCCATCTTCTATGTGGTGTCATACTGCGATCAAAGTTCCCCCGAGCTTCACCAACTTGACTCACTGGTCGGACCTTTTCGAAGCAGGTCACCAGGAAGCACTCAAGGTACATTTCATTCCGACCCATGCCTTCCTACTATTCATGTTTTACCTTATCTGACTTTCATTGTAATCTTGTTTTCAGGCCGGCGTGTATTATCACAAGGCCTTTCTTGCCGTTGAGAAGGAGATGAAAGCCCTGGCCAGCGATCGGGATGATGGCCAGGTCCTCCTTTCTGCCGCTCGGAAGTTAGCGGCCGATCTCCAAGAGCAGGCCAAAGAGGGTGAGAAGGAAAAAGTTGCTATGGCCGAGATGCAGGAGATGTCCCGTCGTCGCGATCGGGAGCTTAAAGAACTCTAGGCCAAGGTGAGGGCTGCTGAGTCTGCTGGTATCAAATTTGACAAAGCTGTTGGCGACCATCTGCCCGAACCCTACACGGTCAATACTTCCCAGATTGCTCAACAATCGATAGTGGATTTTCAACGGGGAAAGGGCCAGAACGTCGCTCTGGAGAACACGGCCCGGCAATTCCTGGGTCCTCACCTTGGCCAATTCTTGCGTGAGAGCGAAGATCCCATCAAAGCAGGGATCGACCTCCTGGACAGCACGCAGGAAGGGAAATCTTTTTTGGATGTCCTGACCGAGAAAACTGTGGAGCAAAGTCAGGACCTGCTTCTGGACAGGAACCTTGAATTGATCCTAGAGCATTTTCCCAAGCCGTTCGATCCCGACGAATTAGGCTTTGACGATCTGTTCGGGAATACATATGATCGCATTATGGAGAAAAGGTCCAAGGCAGCGCCTGATGATGCAGTGCAGGGAGCTCTCAGCCTACATCTTCCCCGAACGGCAATCCTCCAGTAGTGTAGCCTTCAACTGTAACTTTTTGCTTCTTTATTCTTCTTGTATATTCCGGCTAGTAATGCCGAAGAATAAACTGGACTTCTTTCCTTATCTGTTGTCTCTTTTCTATTCTTCCTTTGATTTTTTGTTCACAATCGTTTCTACGTGGCCGAACATCACTCGGCTCATGTATCTTTATGTCTGACACCTTTCCCGAACCCGTTTTGATCCCTTTTCCTGTTCGTGACACACAGGTTCAAAACTCTTAGCTGAGGTGAATTCTTCCAAGCCGTTTTGATCGTGACCACAGGGTCAAACTCTCAGCTGGGATAAGGGCTCCCTTCAAACTGTTAACCCGTTCGACATTCGGTCATCCGAAATGATTTCACATGTTAACAAGCTGAGATGAGACTCTCTTCACAATTGCTCTGACACCTTTCCCGAACCCGTTTTGATCCTTTTTCCTGTTCGTGACGCACGGGTTCAAAACTATTAGCTGAGGTGAATTCCTCCAAGCCGTTTTGATCGTGACCACAGGGTCAAACTCTCGGCTGGGATAGGGGCTCCCTCCAAACTGCTAACCCGTTCGTCATTCGGTCATCCAGAATGATTTCATGCGTTAACAAACTGAGGTGAGGCTATCTCCCTTCCAAACCCATAATTCCGATGCATTCCGAACTGTTCTCTCTGGCTCGTATCATCCATATTAGGGGTCTGAGGTAACCCTTTTCGAACTGTAAGCAAGATCACCGAATTTGGGTCATTCCTTACTTATAGCTAAAAGGGCGACTCGCTTCCAAATCAAGTTAATGACTGAGGCGAGATTTTTCAAAACCATAGTTCCGATTCCCCGGGCGACAATCCGTAACTTATCCGAACGTCGCTCGGTTAATCCATATCTTACAGTCTTGACGACTCAGCTCCCTCCAAGCTGTTAACCCGTTCGTCATTCGGTTATCCAGAATGATTCTACGTGTTAACAAGCTGAGGTGAGAATCACTGTCCTTCGAACTCCAGGCCATTTTGATCCCTTCATCAATGCGTAATTACAGGGTCAAAACTCTTGCTGAAATAATGGCTCCCTCCAAACTGCTAATATGTTCGTCATTCGGTTTTCCAGAATCGATTCTCATATTAACCGTCGAGGTGAGACTATCTGAGCGTCAAACTCCAAGCCGTTGGCTGAGAATGACTTTCCTTCCATGTTGTTAACTCGTTCGTCATTCGGTCATCCGGAATGATTGAGTTAACCACGGGCACCGATTTTCTGAGCCTCAATTCTTCAAGCCGTTTTTGATCCCTTTATTCTTTCATAAATCTAGGGTAAAAAACTCTCTAAGCTGAGAATTGATTTTCCTTCCATGCTGTTAACCCGTTTGTCATTCGGTCATCCGGAATGATTGAGTTAACCACGGGCACCGATTTTCTGAGCCTCAATTCTTCAAGCCATTTTTGATCCCTTTATTCTTTCATAAATCTAGGGTCAAAAACTCTCTAAGCTGAGAATTGATTTTCCTTCCATGTTGTTAACCCGTTCGTCATTCGGTCATCCAGAATGATCGAGTTAACCATGGGCTGAGTTTGTCTGGAAGTTATGTCTCCCTCTCTATACCTTTTTTTTAGAGGTGGCAACAACCGTTTTTACTGATAAAATTTCTTTAGATGCTCCACATTCCAAGTTCCTGTCGGTCGGCCTTCGGTATTTTGTAGGCCAAACGTTCCTGAAGCATACTTCTTACATATTTGGTAGGGGCCTTCCCAATTTTGTGCCATTTTGCCCCCTTCGAGCGGTTTGCTTTTCTCTCGCTTTCTTAGCACTAGGTCCCCTACCTCGATTGAACGAACTTTAACTTGCTTATCAAAGTATCTTCTTGTGGCTCTGTGATACTCTTCCATTCGTGCCGCTGCCAGATCCCTTCTTTCTTCTATGAAATGCAATTCGGCCCGTAAGTTATCTTCATTCTGTTCTGGGCTGTAATGCACCGTTCGGTGTGTGGGAACTAGGATCCCCGTTGGTACTTTGGCCTGGAAACCATAGGCAAGGGCAAATGGAGTCTCTCCCGTGGCCGTTCGGGGTGTGGTCCTGTAAGTCCACAGAATATAATTCAACTGATCAGGCCACGATGAGGAGTATTCTTCTAGCTTCTTCTTCATACCATCCATGATAGTTCGGTTCATATTTTCTACCTGGCCATTCGCCTGAGGGTATGCCACGGACGCTCTGGAATGCTTGATTCCCCATTTGACCAGGTAGTTCTCAAAATTACGGCTCACGAACTGCCTTCCATTGTCAGTTACAATCTGTTCAGAGATTCCGAATCGGCAAATGATATTTTTCCAGACAAACTTCTGACATTTAACATCTGTGATGCTGGCCAGTGGCTCGGCCTCTACCCATTTGGTAAAGTAATCTATCCCCACAATAATATACTTGTTGTTTCCAGGTGGCGTAGGTAGAGGACCTAACAGGTCTATTCCCCATCTTGCGAATGGAAGGGCCACCGTCATTGGAGTGTAGAAAGTGGCAGGCCGTCCGGGGACTGGTGCATATAGTTGGCATACCTTACATTTCCTAGTATGTGCAAAGCAGTCCTGTTGGATAGTCGGCCAATAATACCCTTGCAAGATGATTTTTCTGGCCAGTGTCTTGGGCCCTTGGTGGCTAGAACAGATACATTCATGAATCTCTTCCATTACAGCCGCCGCTAGATCGGGTGGGAGGCATTTCAGATACGGCCCACCAAATGTCTTTTTGTACAGCTGCCCATCTACCAATTCGAACATGGAAGCCCTCCTCTGGATGCATTTTATTTGATAAGCAGGATTTTTATCTTGTGGGAGGGTTCCGTCTTTCAGGTAGTTGGTCATATCTACGACCCAGCTCGGGACGGCATAAGATATGGCCTCGATCTGGAGCACCATGATTGCCGGGGTCGCCAAGGTTTCCCGATGGGCAAAACGTTGGATATGAGCCGGGATCTCCTGTGCCCGGTCGTCGAACGCTGCATTTTCTAATTTGGACAGGATATCTGCTTCAGTATTTTCAAGCCTGGATATTTGATCGAGCACCACCTGTTCAAATTTACGAATCTGCTCCTCAACTATTTCCTTGTAGGCCTTCATCCTCTCCTCTTTGGCCTCAGCAGTGCCGTTTACTTGATGTACCACCAATTGACTGTCCGATCGGACTTTTAACCGATCGACACCCAGGGCCCTTGCATATTTTAAACCAGCAATGAGAGCCTCATATTCAGCCTCATTGTTGGTTACCTTGAAGTCAAAATGAATAGAATAATATGCTTTGAACCCCTCGGGCGATGTGATTACAGCTCCAGCTCCACAACCTTTGGCACTAGATGCACCATCCACATACATTTCCCACCAGTTATCCAGCCCGTTGTTCTCTGCATCTTTTTCTGAGGGCCAGGCGGTACATTCTGCAATGAAATCTGCCAGGGCCTGCCCTTTGATAGTAGGCCGGGGTTTGAAATCCACCTCGTATTGCCCGATCAGGAGGCTCCACTTGGTAATGCGTCCACTTGCCATAGGATTCCTCAAGATGGTGGCTAGTGGCTGAGTAGTATACACAGTTACCGGGTGGGTCTGGAAATACGGGGCCAGACGTTTAATGGCAGCTATCAGGGCCAGTACATTTTTCTCTAGCAGGGTGTACCTGGTTTCCGGGCCGTTTAACGCCTTGCTCACAAAATAGATTGGCCGTTGAACACCATCTTCTTCTTTCAACAGTATTGTGCTTACGGCCAAGTTAGCTACAGCAAGGTACATATACAGATGTTCGCCTGGCTCGGGTTTTGTCAAGACCAGGGGGGAAGACAGATATGTCTTAAAATCTTCAAAGGCCGTTTGGCATTCGGCTGTCCATTCAAAAGGGTTGGCTTTCTTCATGATCTGGAAGAACGGGATAGCACGATCGGCCATAACCGACCGGTCAATCTCTGCACTTCCTTGAGATTTCTCGGAGCCTCCATGTCCATAATTGCCTTTACTTTTTCTGGATTGGGCTCAATCCCCTTCTCGCTCATCATGTACCCCAAAAATTTGCCTCCTCTTACAGCAAAACCACATTTCTTGGGATTCAGCCTCATATTCGTTTTTTTGCATTATCCCGAACACCTTTTCTATATCCTGGACATGGCTTTCCTTCTTTTTGCTTTTGATCAGGATGTCATCAACGTAGGCTTCCATTGTGACACCCAGCACATCTTTAAACAGCATCCCGATCATCCTCTGGAAAGTTGCCATTGCGTTTTTTAATCCGAATGGCATGACGATATAGCAAAACACGTCATCCGAAGTAACGAACGCCGTTTTCTCTGCATCGGCCGGGTGCATGAATATCTGATGATAACCCCGGAAAGCATCCATGAAGCTCAGTAATTCACATCCGACAGTTTCATCCACTAGCAGATCGATCCTCGGCACTGGATAGGGATCCATGGGGCATGCTTTATTTAGGTCAGAGTAATCCACGCACATTCTCCAAGTAGATTGTTTTGGGGCTAGAACCACATTGGATAGCCATTCTACGTGGATTACCGGACGGATGTGCTTTATTCTTAGCAAGGTGGCCACCTCCTTCTTTGTGAATTCCCACCGTTTGGTTGCTTGATACTGTTTCTTCTGTTGGACTGGTTTTGCATCTGACCGAACGGCAAGTTTGTGACATATTATTTCCGGATCAATTCCGGGCATATCTTCTGGCCCCCGGGCAAACAACACCTGAAACTTTTTGAGGACGGCGATCACGCCATCCCGGATATCAGCCTCCAGATCTACCCCGATAGCCACCTTACGGTTCGGGGGGAAGTCGAGGTCGATTTGTTCAAGAAGGGTGGCGGGCTCTGGGTGTGCCTCGAACTCCGTTCGGTGTGTCTCCACCTCAATTGTATTAACCCGCATCCCACGGGTGTTCATCTGTTTTAGGGCCTCCCGATAACACGTCCGGGTTGTCGTTGGATCAGTTCTGGCCACCCCTACCCCAGTGTCTGTAGGGAATTTGATGCATGAGTGGCGGACAGAGGCTATTGCCTCCAGATCTTCCAATCCCGGTCGGCCCAATATGGCATTGTGGGCACACTTTATATCTACCACCACGAACGTCATTCGGAGTGACGCTTTGTGGGTTTCATCCCCAATTTCAACCATTAATTGGATGGTCCCCTCCGCCTCGATGCAGTTACCGGTAAAACTTGCCAGTGGGGACCGTAGGTGGGTCAGTTGGCTTCTTTTTAGACCCATTTTCTCGAATGATTGTAGATACAATACATTCACACTGCTCCCGGTATCGACCAGCACTCGGCGGATTAAAGCATTGTCAATACACATGCTTACCACCAGTTCATCCCTGTGTGGGCTTGGAGAGTTGGGTAGATCAGCTGGCCCGAACGTGATCGGGTCTGTCCTTCCTTTCTTCTGGGGGGAGTGGAGACGGATCCCACATAAAGACTCCGCTCAAACCTTTTCCGTTCGGCGTTCGAATCCCCGGTCTCCCCGCCCCCAAATATAACCTTGACCTCCATTCGAGGCTTCTTTCCAGGGCCTCCCGAGCCCTCTGGCTCATCCCTGGGAGGAACATACACATCATTTTGGGGCTGGGCGTCACGTTGAGCATCCCGGCGCCAGCTATTAGGTTTCCTGGCCGGTTTCAGCGTGCCCATAGCATTCGGATCTTTATTCACATATTTGCCCAGATGGCCCCTTCGGATCAGATCCTCAATGGCTGTTTGTAGGGCCCTGCAGGCATTGGTGGCATGACCCTTTCTGTTGTGATATTTACAGAAAGCATTGTCATCCGTTCCCATGAACTGTCCAGAATCAGTCGGGATGGGAATATTGTCCCTCTCGTGCTGATAGATGGTCGCTATTGATAGGACCAAGGGTGTAAATCTCCCTTGTTTGGGAGGTAAAGCGGACGCTGGGCTAGGACCCAGCCGATCGGCCATTCTGATGGGGGCAGCAGGCGTAATGACCTTATCCCTGATCATTATCTCCTCTTCCAGGGCGGCATGCTTGCGAGCCCTATCTAATACCTCGGCGTACACCGTACCCGGATTTTTCTTCAACTCTTTGTACAACTCCCCCGTTCGGAGAGCATTTGTGAATAGGGTAATGGCGGTATCATCCGTCATGTTTCCCACTGTTAAAGTTTCATCCCTCCACCTTTTCAGGAATTGGTTGAGGGTCTCTTTGGCGTTTTGCTTCACGCTGGTCAAATAGCTGAAGTGCCGTTTGGGATTGGCACTGGAAGCAAACTGAGCCAAGAATAACGCTGATAACTCGGCAAAGCTATTGATTGACCCGGGCTGCAGTGTCCCGAACCACTCCTGGGCAGGCACCCTGAGCGTGCTGAAAAACAACCGGCAAATGGCAGCCTCGGGTGCTCCTAGCAGCATAAGTCCCCCTTGGTAACTCCTCAGATGTACGTGGGGATCTCCCACCCCATCGTAAATTTGGCCGGTCGGGGGCTTGGCACCCCCTTGGATATCCGCGTACATGAGCTCCCTAGTAAACGGGGAAGTAATTCCCAGCTGAACTGGTGCGGGTTGTACAGGTACCCTGTTCATCTGGTCCCGCATTTCATTCATTTGCCTCCTCATCTCGGCCATCTCTTCCTCCTGGGCCGTCAAAGGGGGCGGTGGTGGAGCCCTCATCTCCGTACAGTCCCGGTCCCAATGCCGCTGAGGGGCCCTAGTATTTTCCCGCTCGGCATACTGGAAATGATGACCAACGGGAGTTGGTCCTCTAGCTTGTGACCCGACCGGGGTTCGGTCACTGGGACTGTGGTGCGCTGTTGGTGGGGCGCTACGTCGATTATCCCGATGGACATGTGAACGGGATGACGCCGCGGTTGTTTCCGTGCGTGGGGTCTCCCCTGTAAAGCTGGATCCTCCTTCCTCTTCGTTCGCCATATGCTGCATGACCTGGGCCATGTCACGCATGGCCTGAGGATTTCTTCTCAGAGATTCAGGAATCACAAAATCCCCATCGAAACGAGGATTCGGTCCTCGACTGGATTGTCCCTGAGGGTTTTGACTCCTTGGGGTGTGACTCTTCCCGTGACGGCGTGAACCGTCGCTTGTATGATAGGAACTGATTCTGACCATTTTTGAAAAATAGAGGTTTTTTGGATGATTAGAAAGTGAAACTTTTTGCAAGTTTCCCACAGACGGCGCCAATGTTGAGGGTAAGTCCCGTAGATCCGAAAGCCCAACACGAACTTTGGATATATCAGGAATGACCCAGAATCAAAGCGTGTAAAAAATATAAGATCTGAACTAACTAAAACTCGAAAGCTCACTTGTATTAATTAACCAATCTGATTACAAGGAATTTCCCGATCGGTATGTCGGAAACTATGCTTTAATACAAGAAATAAGAGCAAATGATGCTATTCTAGAGCTTGAGTATTGAAATGCTAACCCTTACAATGACTTGAAACCTTCTATTTATACTAATGGAGAGCATGGGCTGCCTCTTGCTGATTGCCCGTTGTTCCACCGACTTGGTCATCCATGCTTCCACTTGATGATGTCATAGTCTGGCATTAATTGCACCTGGCCACTTGCTGGTTGGCCGTTGCTCGAACGGGATGTTGGGCTGTACTGAAGATGCTGTCAAATTGGCCCAAGTATGATATATAGCCCGAACCTCGTTCGGTATGTCTTCTTACTGGGCCAATCTTTATTTGGGCCGAACTCCGTTCGGTATGTCTTCTTACTGGATCTAATCATCATAGATTAATTTTAATTTTAATATTTACTAAATAGGACTGAATTATCTTGAACCATAACTCTAATCATGTTTTTCTATCTTCCCCTCCACCATTTTGTTGGTGTGAGATCGCCTGAAGTAAACGATTCCACTTGTTTGGATTGATGTCTTTCGAAATGTATAAATATAGTCATCTTTTTTTGTGTATTTATTTAAAGATAGGGTCATACTACGGTGTCTTTGAAAATTTGAATGGTATGGTGCATCTCATTGTGTGGGCAAGTGAAATAGTGACACATGGAAATAGTGACACATGAAATTGTGTCATTAATGAATTGACTTAAAATGCTATTAGGTGAGAAAGACAAATGTATGATACACTCCAAATTTGAAGAGGTATCATAGAAATCTCTTTAAAGATATTGGAGGAGAATGCAATAATTATTTGTTTATCAAGTCAATCGGGTCTTTACGGGTCAAGTTTAATTTTGATTTATTGTATATTTGTATGACTAGGCTGGTTTTTCACGTTAAATGTGGTGTTGATCCCTAAAGTGGAGGGAAATTATCGTATCCTCCTATATATATTTTTTATACCTAAAAGCACTACACTGGAGAAAGAAAATTCTCCCGCCTAAGCATTCTTCGCCTAAAATCTAAAATTTAATTTCACTTTCCGCAAAAATAAATCATCATCTTATACCTAAAAGCAATACACTGGAGAGAGAAAATTCTTCCGCCTAAGCATTCTCCGCCTAAACTCCTGAAAATGTAATTTCACTTTCCACGAAAAAAATACGAGTTGTACACCTTTCCTGAGAAAATTCTTCCGCATAAGCCTAAAATCCCAAAATGTAATTTCACTTTCCAAAAATCATCATCATCATCCTATACCTAAAAGCACTACACTCAGAGAGAAAATTTCCAAAAATCATCATCATCATCCTATACCTAAAATTCACTTTCCAAAAATCATCATCATCATCACTTTCCAAAAGTTTAGGTGGAGAATGCTTAGGCGGAAGAATTTTCTCTCTCCAGTGTATTGCTTTTAGGTATAGGATGATGATTTGTTTTTGCGGAAAGTGATATTAAATTTTAGATTTTAGGTATAGGATAGGATAATGAAATGAAATTAAATTTTAGGATTTTAGGATTATAGGATGATGGTTTTTTTGTGGAAAGTGTAATTACATTTTAGGATTTTAGGCGAAGAATATTTAAGCGGGAGAATTTTCTCTCTCCAGCGTAGTGGCTTTCCAATCAAAAGGCCTTCCTTAACCGTCAAAGTGGTATGTTTACAAATATGAAATTCAAAGTATTTCCAACTAAATAACAATAGGAATAATATTGGGAAAATCACATATATGGTCCCCAGTTATCCACGAAATTAAAATCTTAGATCTATATTTCTGAGATTGTAAATGTCACCCCTCAATTGTCCAAATTGTTATAAATGTGGTCCTTTAAGTGGTGAAATATACTCTCGCTCACATTGTATATTTCACCCCTATATGCGATTTTCCCTATAATATTTTCTGGTTTGAATGAAAGGGAGAGCAAGAAATAGAAGTCCATACAAAATAAGGTGTAGTAATTTACACAACTGAGAACAAAAACAGAAAAATACATCCACACCCGATGACAAGAAAAGTACATTACATACCATACAAAGGTAGGAAAAAAGAGCAACTTAAGTGGTACTTCGGTGATATGATTTATCAAGCCCTGGTCTTGAAAGGAATGGCTCGGATAACGATCTGGTGGTAGAGAGCAGCAAGAGAAGCTCCAATGAAGGGTCCGACCCAGAAGATCCAGTGGTCATCCCAAGCCTCGCCCTTGTTATAGATGATGGCTGCTCCCAGGCTTCGAGCTGGGTTTATGCCCGTTCCGGTGATCGGGATGGTCGCCAAATGAACCAAGAAGACCGCAAATCCTATTGGAAGTGGTGCCAATATCTGCACACATGCAACATACCAAACCATTTCATTCCATCACCTACAATCGGTGCCTTGTTATTATAACGTTATTGCCCGGTTCTTTCCCACGACTATTACTCTTTTCAACCATTTTTGTCCAGTTCCCGATAAGATTGTTCTATTTTTCTTTTTGGAAAATCCCACTAAAATCGTCTAATATCAAATTTTGTAAAATTTGTGTAACTCTAAATCATTTTTACTTTATTCATACTTTATCAATTCATTGAAATTTACATAAACTGACTTTTCTTAATAACAGTGTCACCCCTTCAATCATGCTTTACATTTTATGATTTCTAAGTGTAAGTCAAAGTTGGTTAACTCAAGAGACGGATGAAGTTGCGCATTTTTAAGATTTATCTTTATCTTACTATAAAAAATGTTCTCTTTTTATTCTTTTTGTAGCGATTTTTAACTTTTAATGCTCCGTAGAATCAGACATGGGGTACACACTTTGTGTACACACTCTTACACACTCATGTCTGTGAGGCGTTTTTTTTTGTCTGTCCCAGACAAAACGTATTTGTCAAGTACGTTTTGTCTGGGACAGAAAAAAAACGCCTCACAAACTAAGTGTGTAAGAGTGTGTACCAATAGTGTGTACCAATAGAATTTTTCTACTCCGTAATACCCATTAAAATGACTTTTGTACTTTCATTCTTATCCATTCATAATTCATTACAATTTACAAGCAGTAATTTTTTAGTAGTTTGCCAATTTTGTAAAAACTATTTGATCAAAGTTTGTATAGAGTAGGGACATACGGAGTATAACATACGATAGTACTCTTTCATATTGATTTTTACAAACTTTTTTGTTTTTCCACTATACTTTTATTTATCATTTCACTATGTTATACGGAGTATGTAGTACACAGCATGATTACTGAACTTATCTTACTTTATCTCACTTTTGAAAGTTAGCATTGTAAATTGCTCCCCGTGTTTTTACAAAATATAATACGACGAAGCCTGAATGAATAAAAAAGCAGGAAAACACTTTTTTCAAGTAATACCTTGTGTCCCTTATTTATGTTTGACTTTGCACATACGTATCACTGAAGGTAAATTTTACTGAAAAGTATAATGTTGTGACACTGTTTGACATTGTTTTGCACGGTTTTGACATTGTTTTGCACTGTTTTGATGTAAATTTGTTTCCTAAATAAGGGAGTGTGAATGCGACATCCAAAAAAGGAAAATGAGAACTTAAATAGGAGACGGAGGGAGTATATTCCTAACGTTATTCTTAATAAAAAAACATTAAAGGTTTTAACTTAGGCCATTTCTAATCTGGCCAGCAACGTTCATGTTGCATTTATATATATAGATGTGTACGACCGAGCTAGTTGGTTGGCCAAGAAAGAGATTAATTTGAGCCAAACATCCCCCAATATTTTCACTATGCGTTTGTACTAATATAATTTTCGCTCTCGTTGTTCTATTACAGGCTTACGCCGAAGAGCTCGTTTTATCATGGGGGGAAATTTTTACTAGTCGAAAATACTTTCTTGAGAACAACGTTTATACTAGGGGTGGGATCGGTCCGAGCTGGATCGGGTTTTTGCTCTATCCGGAAATTACCAGAAACTTCTCGGGTTATGAAAAAATAGGACCGGAAAAAAGCCCGACATATTCGGTCCGAGCCGGATTTTTTGAGGCTCGGGTTTGGTCTGGGTTCGGGAAAGGTCAGTTAAAGCCCAATAAAAAATACTCGTATCATTGTTTTTATTAAAAAAAGTATTCAAAAAAATGTTCGATGATCAATCAAATTGAGTCAACCTTCTCACTTTCTATTATAGTCAAAGCAAAACTATTTAATCAATAATTCAAAGGCTATAAAGCAACGATATTTCAAGCACAAAAAAAGTATTAATCCAAAACACTCATGAAGAGCCAAACATAAATACTAACAAAATCCCAACAACAAAAATTCAGACTTAAGAGAACAAAGTTCTGAAAAAATGTTCTCTCTTTAAGATGGATACAAAAACAAAACAAATTGGAAGACCCCAAGTGAGTATTTGGAGTTGTTTCCATAGAATATCTTATTTTTTTATAATAAATTATACGTAATGAAACATTTGGGTCGGGTTTTGACCGGGCTGGGCCGGTGTGTAATTTTTAGGGACCGGATTTAGGCCCGGAATTTCGGGTTCGGTCCGGGTTTTTTTAACCGGTCCGTCAAAAATAAAAAAAACTCCGCCTGATAACATTTTTCGATCCAAGCCCGGGTCAGTTTTCGGGTTTCGATTCGGTTTTTCCCACCCCTAATTTATGCAATTTGAGCTATATTATTTTTCTAACACATTTTTACAGGTTTATCCGGCCCAATTACATAAACAATGCAAACAACAATTTTAACAATCTTGAATGACCACACCGTACATACACGCAAACCCTACGCTCGAAGAAACCAGCGGCGATGGCCACCCATGACGGCGCATGCCTTTGCTAATCAAGGCTTATTAACGCTTCTGTCTCGGCCTGTTTCCAGAGGTAATCAGTCTCCCTCGATAGTGGGGAAGGTTTTTGTTCCTCGTCAGGTTATACCTGGTCGAGAGGGTTGTTAATTTTCTTCCATAATGGGGTGTGTTAGTTGGAATTGTAGAGGATTGGGAAATCTGGCCGCTGTTCAGGTACTACAAGATATTACATCCATGTATCACCCGACGATCATCTTCCTCATGGAAACTCTATGCGGCCATGAACGTATAGCCCATGTTAGTAAGCAGTTGGGATTCGAGCAGAATTTTTGTGTCAACTGTGATGGATGAAGTGGCGGGTTAGCATTATTGTGGAAGAACGACATGACTGTGAATATCCAGGGTTTCTCTCAGAATTATATTGACACTACTGTGTCTATGGAAGCACAACCGCTACCTTGGAGATTAACCGGCGCTACCTTGGAGATTAACCGGTTTCTATGGCTGCCCAAAACGACAAAGGAGGAGAGAATCTTGGTCGCCATTGCAGCAATTAGCTACGGCGAACAGTACTCCATGGGTGGTCCTCGGAGATTTTAATGATATTTTGCAGGTCTATGAGAAGAGGGGATGTTGCCCGCAACCTCCTTGGATGTTAGCGGGTTTTGGCAATGCAGTTTGGGGGAGCGGATTGGTGAATTTTCCTTTTGACGGTTATCAATTCAAATGGGAACGAGGTCGTGGCACGAAACAGTGCGTTAAGGAGAAGCTTGACCGAATACTCGTTAATGATGGCTGGTTAAATATTTTTGGTGATGCATGGGCTACTTCCATCACAGGTAGTAACAACGATCATCTGGCTATTTATCTCAAATTTAGCCAAAAAGAGAGGAGACATAAGAAGACCAGGTTCAAGTTCGAAAACCATTGGTTAAAGGAGAAGGATTGTCGGAATGTGGTTGAACGTGCCTGGAGTTCGTGTGAGAATCAACTTATGTTGGAGCGTTTACAATTTTGCAGCACGGAGCTTGGGAAGTGGGGCAAGCATCTTCGTAGAGGTTTCCAGCGACGAATTGAGGGATGCAAGAGATAGATGGAACGAAGCCGAGACAGAACGGATGCTGCAGGACTGGCTGAGTTCGCTAGAGCCAAGGTTTGTTATTTAGACCTGTTGGAAAAACAAAATTTATTCTGGAAGCAAAGGGCAAAGGAGTTCTGGCTACAACAGGGAGATATTAATACCAGGTATTTCCATAACTCGGTTAAACAAAGAAGGCGGAAATATTTAATGAAGGGTTTGTACTCGGATACAAGCACCTGGGTGACAGACCAAGGGGAGGTGGGAAAGTTGGTTGTTAATTATTTTGAAAATTTATTCACCACGAGGGGATAATACTCTACGTGGGATAGATGTTGCTCAGAAAATTAGTGATGCACAGAATGCTTCTTTGGTCCGAAATATTACTAAAGCGGAGGTTAGAGCAACAGCATTTATCATGCACCCAGATAAAGCCCAAGGGCCGAATGGGCTAAATCCGAGTTTTTTCCAGGCTTTTTGGGATGTGGTAGGCCCGGCGATGGATTGTTGTGTTACCCTTTTTACTACAGGGAGTGTGCATGCGGACCATAATGATACCATTATAGTACTGATACCGAAAAAGGGAAATCCCGTGGTGATGGGGGATTGGAGGCCGATTGCTTTATGCATTGTTGTTTATAAAATTTTTGCGAAGGTTTTAGCTAATCGGCTAAAAGGTATACTACATGGACTTATTTCTGAAAGTCAAAGTGCATTTATTCCTAGCAGATCTATTATAGACAACATCATTGTTGCTTATGAAACTCAACATTTCTTGAAGCGGAAGACTCAAGGCATGGAAGGATATGTGACGTTAAAATTAGACATGAGCAAAGCATATGATGGAGTGGAGTGGAATTTTTTAAAACATATTATGGAGTGTTTCGGATTCAGCCCCCGATGGATTAGTCTAATTATGCAATGCGTGGAAACAGTTCAATATCATGTTCAGGTTAACGGTGAACTTTTTGGGCCGATTATTCCATCTTGAGGGTTAAGGCAGGGGGCCCGCTATCTCCTTATCTTTTTATTATGGTGGCAGAAGGAATAAGTGCTCTTCTAAGGGCTAAGGAGCAAGAAGGGCTACTGTAAGGAATTCGAGTGACGCGTGGGGCACCATTGGTGTCTCACCTCTTATTTGCTTATGATAGTTTCTTTTTCTGCAGGGCTAACGAAAGGGACTGTTTAATGATCAAGGAGATCTTAGCACAATATGCTTCCATCTCGGGTCAGCTAATCAATTTTGAGAAATCAAGTGTGCGCTTTAGCGCAAATGTGGCCTGGGATGATAGAGACTATCTAACTAGTTTTTTTGGAGTCCAGGAAGATCAGGGAGGAGGTAAGTATCTGGGACTTCCGTCGATGGTTGGAAGAAATAAAAAAGAAATTTTTGGATATATAAAAGAAAAGGTTGTTCAGAGAATCCAGAGTTGGAATAGTAAATTTCTTTCTAAAGCTGGTAGGGAAGTTTTACTAAAAACAGTAATTCAAGCTATGCCCCAGTATGCTATGAATGTTTTTTTGTTGCCAGCGGACTTATGTAATGAAATAGAACGAATAATGAATGCTTATTGGTGGAGAGGACATGCATTCAAAGGTAAAGGTATTAGGTGGAAAACCTGGGATGATCTCTGTATTCCAAAAGCTCAAGGAGGCATGGGCTTTAGAAAGCTTAGAAATTTTAATATTGCTATGTTGGGTAAGCAGGTTTGGAGACTTTTGAAGCAGCCGAATACCTTGGTGGCTAATGTACTTGAAGCTAAATATTTTTCTCACGAAGATATATTGGAGGCAAAGTGTGGAAGTAACCCGTCCCTTATATGGCGAAGCATTACGGGTGCGATACCGGTAGTCCGTGAGGGGATTTGTTTTCGAATAGGGAAAGGAAATTTGGTAAGGGTGTGGAAGGATAATTGGCTCCATGATTATGCTGGGTGTCGGCTAGCTGAGAACGTGGTGGCGGGGCTGGAAGATATTAAGGTTAGCTCACTCATGCTAAACGATGGATCATGGTGGGATGTCGATCTATTGGGGGATTTATTTCAGAAAAAGGATAGAGACCTTATTGTAAGCATACCGGTGCGACAAGAACAGGAAAATGATGAGTTGATTTGGGCTGATGATGCCAAAGGTCTTTATAGTGTTCGAAGTTGCTACACGAGATTAAAACGCAGCGTACTACCGGTGATGGGTTGGGCTAAAATTTAGAGCTACCACCAAAAGTGAAGATTTTCTTTTGGCAAGCTTGCATTGATTGTTTACCATACAAACAACGCTTAGTACAACAGAGGGTGCCGGTGTGGCCGTGATGTGCAATATGCGGTTATGAGGAAGAGAGTTCATTGCACATCTTAAGATTTTGCACCTTGGCTAAAGCGGTGTGGCGGAGTAGGGGTCAGAAGTTTTTTCAGCTAGCAGCTGCTAGTTTTGGCGAGTGGGCAAGCAAGGCGGCTGAAAGTGGGTCCAAGGGGGAGTACGGCCAGTTTATCATGGCTACATGGAGTTTGTGGAAAGCACGGAACGAGAAGGTTTGGAAGAAATTAAATCCAAACTAGAAGGGAGTCATCACTTGTGGCGACGCCATGCTAGAGGGTTGGCGGGAGGCGCAGCAGTCCAAGATCCAGGAACGGACAAAGGAGCAGAGAGGCAAATGGCAGGCTCCAGATGTGGGTTTAGTGAAAATAAATGTTGATGCTTCTGTACCCACCGAGGAGGATACGAGAGGTTTGGGGATGGTTGCTCGGGATAGCCATGGCCAATTTCTAGCGGGTAAGAATGTAAGAAAATGGGGACGTTTCTCACCAGGGACGACGAAGGCACTGGCAATTGAGGAAGCGGTTCGATGGGCTATGGAGCGGGGATGGCAAAGGATCATAGTGGAATGAAACGCTCAACATATTGTGCAGGGGCTTCACAAAGGGGATGGTATTCATTATAATGATATTATTTTTCAAAGTATGAGACACATGATAGTTGAATTTGCCAATATAAGTGTCCAATTTGTGCACCATTCAGCGAACCAGGCTGCTCATATTCTTGCTAGGGAAGTCTGTTCTGGGACTGTCGTTATTTAGATTGATAATTCACCTGAATGTATTGTCCATGTCTTGAGACATGATATGAATTAATGAAGTTATTGGATTTTACAAAAAAAACAATCTTGAATGGCCGGTGTCCTAGTCCGAGGGTCCCTACCAGTATCATGTGGGATTTACAAGTATGGTTGGTTTGTGGGACCAGAGTGATGAAAGAAACAACACCCACAGTCCAATGATAAAAGCGCCACCAAACCAAGCATGGGGAGACACGTCATCTGACGCTACCCCACCCAAGTGCTGTTCCCCTCGTTTTAAGTCCACGGTTTTATGAATTGTTCTTATCACTGCATAGTCCCCACCCACTCTCATCCATTTGGTGGATTGTTTGGTCGGTTTAATTTTTTCTTTAAAAAATGATACTAGTAGCATTTTCATCATTTCATTTTCATTTTCATTTACCCCAGTGTCGCAAAGGCTCCCACCTACGGTGGGGTAAGGGGGATCAGATGTACGCAGTCTTACCCTTGTACTAAAGCACAGAGAGTTGATACTGTGCGTTTAGGAAAATTTAAATTTATGGGTGTGGTTGTATAAGGAAAGGGTGAAATGAATGTGAACCACACAAATTGTCCAAAAATGATAAGTGAGAAGAATTTTTTGGAATGACCCAAAAAAAAAAGTGAGAAGAATTTTATAGGAAGGAGGGAGTACATTTTTTCTTTTGACTCAAATTTGATGGTCCAATTTGGTCTGATCTGATTAAAACAATCTAAGTAAAAACATCATTTGTTTGAATATAAAAACAAAATTAATTGTATGTAGACAACTTCTGTATTTCTATATGAATTGTTTGTATAAAGACAATTTTATTTGTATACCGATAATTTTGGAGTTTTGTTCTGAAAAACACTTCGAGTCAAATAAAAATATATATGGATGCCTAATCAAAATACTAAGATAGTAGTACTTGATTTCCAAACTACTAAATTTCAAGGATATCATATACGGAGTACATGATTAATTAATTATAAAAGCAAGGGGTTTTGACCTTTTTTAAAATTACGAGGGCTAGCGGAGAAAATATATACTAAGTATATGAGGAGAGATTTATGCATTAAACACGTTAAATGAGTCAAAAAACTCATGAAATTCGACGAATCCGAAGTAAAAAAAAAACTATTCTGCCGGATAAGCCAAAAAAAGGCCAGCAAACAAGCTCTGCACGGTAGAGTAGAATAGGTTAAATATACATTTTAGGTCTTCATTCTCCGTATTCTATTCACATAAGGAACCTCACTGTTTTCAATCAAAGAATGAAGTCGTTGCACATTATTAAAATAACAGAAACAGTAAAACCAGAAATAATAATAAAAATAACCATTATCCCGTTGGGATTTTCGAGGAAAAATGATGTTCAACGATAACAAAAACAGTAGCTCAACTAATAATAGGAGTGTTGATACGGATAAATTTCGGGTTCAAATTCTAATAACTAAGATGAAATCCAGATCTTACTATGTTATAACTACGGTGTCATTACTATGTACATAGAAATATGTAAAAGGAATCCCTTTTAAATCCAGATGTTAATATTAAAATTGGATAAAGTACAAAATTGGTTAATATTTAAAAAAAGTTAAAAAGAAAATTACGAAAAATCTATATTTGAATTTTAACTACTACGTATTACACAATTGTTTTTTGAATTTTAACTATTAGACAATTTTTCACGGAAGTAAAAAACACAGTTTTCAACAATAAAATAGCGAACCAATAGGGCCAAAATTAGTTATAAAATGGGAACTAATTTTGCTAATTCATTTCCACTTAATATTTTCAAATAGAAACTAGTTATATGATGATGAGTTTATTCAAGTATAATTGCATAATTTTCATTCCACTGCATACCAAGCCATATTAAATTTGTAATGCAGACCCCAAAATCCCTCAGCCAAACAAGTCTTGAAGTGGAAGGGACAACTGAGAAGTAGAAAGAGGGGACTAACCGGAACATGGGAGTCCCTGGCATTTCTCTTAGCATCGGTGGCAGAGAAGACGGTGTAGACAAGGACAAAGGTGCCGACGATCTCCGCGCCGAGCCCAGCGCCCTTGCTATAACCCGAGCTCAACATGTTCGCGCCGCCTTTGTTGAGCTCGTACGGCCCCTTCATGAACCCTTTCACCACCCCCGCCCCGCATATTGCCCCCAGACACTGCATCACCATGTAGAACACGGCCCGAGTCAATGACAGTTTCCTCGCCAAGAATAGCCCGAATGTCACTGCCGGGTTTATGTGTCCTCCTGTCCAGTTGTTTTTTAATCATAATTGAATCAGTTAAGCTAGAAAAGCAACTTTAACCTTATTCATTTTAATTATTTTAATTATCATTCATCACATGTTTGATAAAAATATTGATAAGTAAGATTGATAAAATGATAATTGGGCTCATAATGTGCTTGACATCATAGATTTTCTTTTACGAAAAACAGGGAAGACAGTTAAACTGAAGATAGACATTTTATTTACTAGTACTAACTTTTATGTGCCCTGTTTGTATTTTTGCATTGTTTTTAGGAAATATTTGCACTGTTTAGGAAATACTATAAATGATTGAGAAAAGTCTCAACACTTCACCTTAAATTGGGTGGCAAAACTCAAGTACACGAATTATTGTTTAATTGCATTATCACATAAAATTAATGTTTACTACTAATCTTGTGTGACAAACCAAGAAGAACTAACTCATTTTAGCTGAATTGCACATATAATTTTTAGCTATTATATTAACTGAATTAGTATAGAAGATCATTTTAGCTATTTGCACATATAATTTTTCTTTATTTTATTAATATAATATATTTTAAATATATTTTTCATAAATCAACATAATCGGCCAATTCAGACAGAATTTCATAAATTTAAAAAGACACTGATTCATCAGATTTTGATATTAGCAAAGGGGCTTTAAGTTTTCAGACAAATAGATGACTAATTTATTATTCTACACCAAGCTGATACAAAACAAATATTTCATTTAACTAATTTATTATTCTTCTTATTTCTAAATCTTATTTCATATCATATCTTTAATAATTTATACTCCGTATCTCTTTTTACTATTCATAATCCGAATAAAATGAGAAGATATGAACGAGGTAGGTAGCATAATTCAAGAAGAATCTATTCTAAATCATTAAATTTCCTTCTAAATAATAAGACAATCCAAATCTTAATAAAAAAGAAGGGAGGAAAAATTGGACGGACCTGAGATGCCGGCGGTGCAGTAGACAAGGGCAAAAATCATGCCGCCGAAGGACCAAGCGATGCCCTGAATACCCACAGATTTGCAGAGGCCATCGGAGCGTTTGACGCCCATAACGGTCAAGATGGTGATGTAGAGGAACAAGAAGGTGGCCACGAACTCGGCTATCCCGGCTCGGTAGAAGGACCACGAGCTCAGCTCCCCCGGCTCGAACAACGGTGCTGCCGGGGGCTCCTTGTAGTCCTTGTCCGATTGAGCCGCGGTCCCTAGCGGTTGTGTCTCCCTGAACTTGTTCGCTCCCAACTTCACATCTTCTTCCCTGTTTTCTGCCATTTCCTCCCCTCTATCTTCTCTCTCTCACCACTACTTATAAAAAGAAAGCTGATCGTGAGTGGTTACTGAGCCAAGATTCTTTGTGGTTTTATAGAGCCAAGAGTTTTTCATTTTTTCTGAGCAGATTATTTGAGTGGTCCACTACTTTTTTTGGTCAATGTAAAATCTTCATCTTTTATTTTATATTCTCCTCCTAAAATTGACTTGATACTTCGTTTTTCACACATATTAAATAAATAAATTTACTGTTTAGCGTTGTTTATCATTGTTTGACATTTTTTTATGTAGATAATTTGTCAAATAAGGAAGTGAGAAGAAGTATGAAGTTAATTTTGGGACATCCATTTAAAGAAAATGGAAAGTTGTTTTTGGGACGGAGGGAATAATTATCTTTTATTAAATTTGAGTTTCAATAAAAGTTTTAATGTAACTAATAATTTTATTTCCTAAAAAAATCTAATTACGAACAGAAATCAATTTATTTTATGATCAGTTAAATATCGTAAATTATATGAAAACTTTTGTGCAGAATAAAGGGAGTGTTAAAATTAAAGAATTTAATCGCTAAAACATGAACAAATATCTAAGATAAGATTAAGAATCTTTTGGGTAACATTAAAATTGGATGAATCTTTTTATCCGTTAGAAGTGATTAAGTTAGTTAAACCTGATAAATTAAGAAAATTATATTTATAAAATATTGAATTGATAAAATTAAGAAAAATTATGTATTTTCTTTTGGGTTGCCTCGAAGTAAAAGTTGCATTTCCATTAGCTTTTGGCAAATTGTTCGAAATACCATTCATACTTTACTTTTCTTTTTATTTTATTTTTAAACAAGAAAACTTTTTTATTAATAATGAAAATAACAAGGAGTAAAATAATACAGTAGCTCAAGACTACAATGGAATGAGACATAGAATCGATTAGCTCTAAGGATCAATTATATTCGTCAATCCCGCAACGATGTAGACTAATCTAACAAATCTGCTAAACTTGCTACTAAAATGGGGGTTACTAAACTAGAACTCCTAGAATAAAAACAACAAAATAAATCAATCATCTTGGTTTGTCCAACCACCTCCAAAAGAAGCATCTTAATTGTAGGCCCTGTCAATATTCTGGCGGTGTTGTTCCTGGAGCTCCACTGGTGAGCCGTTTTTTGACTCGTCTCATCAATCTCCATATGAACTTGAACTTCCACCGGATTCTGCAAATCAACAACCTTCTTTTCTAAGATTCTCCTTCCTCAAGGGCTCTAATTTGGTCGTGCTCCTCTTCAACTCCCATCTTTTCTTTTGCCTTTGAAGTAAATCCCTAGACTAGGTAAAAACTGATTCATTATCTTGTTTCCCCATCAGCCCCTTGTCATTCTCACCTTCTCCCCTGTCACTCATGGAACCTCGCCCCCACGCGGGATGAGCCATTTGTTTCCCGGATGAACCCCTCCGCGTCGCATAACTACTCTCATCCAGTGGCCATAAGGCTTGTCTCCAACTCATGAACCCGAACTGGTATTTGATGGGCAATTGCGATCAGTATGGCCCAGTACTCCACAGACGAAACAAAGGTTGGGGAGTCTCTCGTACTTGAAATTCACCCAGAACCAACTATCACCATCTTCTCTAATATGTGTTCTTCTTTTCTACGCGTTCTCAAAGTAGAGTTGAGCTAATGTTCACCGGAGCTCCACTTTCAGATTGTGTGTCATTTGGCACATTCTGCCCAACAACATTCTGGTTTTCTTGTGAAACAATTTTTCATTACGTTTTCCGAAAAACACAACGAATAGGTTTTAAGTTTGTTAGGTGAAATGCGTGTTTAATTGGAAACTAAAGAAATGAATAAATTAAAATTAATTAAAATAGCCAAGAAAAACAGAAACAAGAAAGAACAGAAAGCCAAAGCTTGTGCAATGTACAATTTCCTTAAAACCTATTTGTTGTCTCCTACAGTGCTAGGAGCGTTGCAACGATAGTTTCCAAGATGCGATGGCTACGAACAATCGTTTGAGCACACAATCAGTTGTTCCGGTGAATGGAAACCAAGTATGAACACTAAGGAGTTTTTCGGAGACTAGAGGTGTTTTTAGCCGAAGAAATACGTGCAAATTGTGTTTATTTTTTCTTTGTTGAAAATCACCTGCCAGATATATATAGGGATTAATTTGTTGTGTGTTAATTGAACTTTAATGGACCTGAACGTTGGACATAAATGACCAGAACGTCGGGCATTAATATGTCAAAAAATTGTCGATTTAATGCAATTTTAACACATTTTTCCAACACAAACAACTATGGACCACTCTCTAAAACACGTCTCATATCCACATACCACAATATGATAAAAAGTGAAAAGATATCTCTTGTTGTCTATTTCTTTCATTGACTCACCTTTTCCTGGTCGCCACAAAGAGGCCATAAGGTCCCTTGAAGATTTGAAATTTTATCTTACGATCGGTAAGAAGGATGCCTACCACCGGAAAACTTGTCCGCCTCTCGTCCGCCACGATTTCTCCAACCTCATTATCATCGAAGTTTAGCTCCTCGCCATCCCCTCCAAAAGCTATGCTTTTGTTTTGATTGACAAGTAAATGAATTAATAATAGGCTTTTACAAAAATATGAAAGAAATAAACATGAATGAATGTAAAATTAAATCAGTGTCATATACTCTGTATCTAACTTCATTGCATGCCAATATATCTTTAATTGTGTCGTTGCTATTAGGTATTATTTTACCGATTTGAATAAGAATCGCAACACTCTCATTTTAATCACCACTTTTAATTCCACAAGTGTATCAAATCAAATGAAAAACATCTCAAATAGAAGGAGCATACAAGTTATAGTTTATACCGTTAGATTATTGGACTTATATTGCATGTAATATTCACAATATATTATTTATCGGGTTTAATTGTATGTTATATGCTATCTTATATTTAGGCCCAAAAAAAAAAAATAGTGGTCCTATGGATATTAATTTAAGTGGGCTAATAAGTTATCTAATAAGGTATAGGGCCCAAATGTGTAGAGACCCATGGGCTTGACCTAATCAATGATGGGCTGATTAGGGTTAAGCACACTCTATAAATAAAGGGTTATGGTCCCTAGTTGAACACGTCATTCCGTCTTTCTGCATCCCATCGCTAGAGAGATAATCCCGAGGGTGTGTATCAACTAGAAGACGCAAACCCTAGCCTCCGTCTCCCGGATCCCTAAAGATCATCTCCCATGGAGTCAGGTACGCTTCCGCTCAGTTAATTCTCTAGATAATTTCAATATGAAGATTAAAGTATTCATGGATTTATTCCAACAATTGGTATCAGAGCCTCCTTCATATTGAATTATTTGGAGTCAGTTTAACCCACCGATTCATTGAAATCAGGGTAATGCGATTTTGCACTTATGCAATTCGTTCTTGTTGAATCGGCGGTTGATGATCAATCGAAATCATCGTGTTTGAGTATGGTGTTTCGTTATTATTATTTTTTTTTTAAACTGAATCGGCGATTAGAATTTTAGCATGTGTGTTCTTATTCGACACATAATCTGCCGAGTCAGTTTGATCTGCGGTGGAATTTTATTTGTATTTTAATTGGGTTTTCTCGCTTATAGCGATTAGAATTGATTGATGTGACAGTTTTGTGTACCTAAAGTTTGATGTGCGGCACACAACCTATAAATTCCTGTGAGCAACTTTTTCAATTCCTTATTTTTTTGATGTTGCTAATTCTTCAAGTGACGCACTATCACTTGTTAAGTTTTTTTTTTCTTCACTTTGTTAAGTCAGAATCATACGATTCATATTAAGAATCATCTATTGTTTTGTTTTTTATGAGTAAGTGATAATACTAAAATTACATATTATGGAGTATTATCAATATATATATTATTGGATGTGGCAGATTGTATCATTGTATGTACTTGTCTAGATTCGGTACCAATTTTGAGTCGGTCGAAGATATCAAATTAAATTTTGATATGTTTCCTTTTACTGTGATTCAATTTTGGAAGTTCTCTATAGCTATGGTAATTCGGTCCATATTTGTAATTACTAAGTTTTGGTAATTAAATACTTATATGTAATTACGCCTAATATCAGTTCTATTAGAATTACATGTTTGGATATTACTGAAATAGATTACTTTTGTTGGTGATAATGATTTACGGCTTGAAAATGTGTATTATGTGTTATGGGATGTATAAACCCTATTTTGCGATCACACGGTGATTGGGTACGAGTTTAAAAAAAAAATCGTTATTCATAATACATTTGCATGTGATTCAGAAAAATTTGCCCAATTTTATTTTTCAGATTTTCGAGTTAATATTAGCATGTCTAATATTTGAGTTAGTTAATTGATACAACATGCTGCCAAAGTAGCCTCTCTTGTTGAAATTAATTAACTCATATATTAAGATGATTGTGTACTTTCTTATTTCATGCGGATAATAATCGGCCCAAAGGAAGGTTATTATTTGGCCGAAATTTAAGTACATTTGTGATAATAAAATTTGTGATGATTATGAAGTTTTTCGTGTGAATATTAAGTCGGTCCAAAGAAAGGCTTAGTATTTGACATGATTTTATTATCAAAATTTTATTATTACGCCAAGAGTACCACTTGCAAGTCTAATTTATGTCCAAAGACAAGATTAGATGTTGCGTTAGGTATCTTGTGATGGGGATTGCTAATATTTAAATTTAAAATTAATTTCAGTTCATAGAGCATATCATTTATATTTTTTTTTGTTCTCTTTCAGTCAATAATTCTGCTGCTACAATATCTGCTAATATTAATAGCATCCCAGTGCTTAACGGCACGAATTTTAAGGAATGGAAAAAGAACGTTATGATCGTTCTCGGTTGCATGGATCTAGACCTTGCACTTCGGACTGAGAAACCCGGTGCCTTTAAGGACACATCTACCCTTGATGAAAAGAGGGAGATGGAGAGGTGGGAACGCTCAAACCGCATGAGTCTAATGATCATGAAACGTGCAATTCCAGAATCATTCAGGGGTACAATGTCTGATGAGGCTGA